TATTCCTGTTGTTAAATTAATATTTAAATAAGATGTTTTAGGTAAGAGTTTATATTCTAATGTTCCATTTTGTTTATAATCTGGATCAAATCCTTGAATTTGTATTAAATTTGTATTTGATGGAAGATTTTCATTTATTGTTAATGTTATTGATGATGAATTAAATTTACAAATATTATCATTTTCATCAAGAATATTTAGAAATATTGATGAACATGTTTGATAAATTCCATCAAATGCACAAATTAATAATGAATAATTTGATTTTATTTCACGATCAAATGATTTTAATATCCATAAATCTCCACTTGTTGAATTTATTGAAAATATATTTTCATCTAAATATAAATTTTAAATAATTTAATAAAAACAAAGAAACATTTTTCATTGAAAATTTTTTTTTTTTTTTTAAAAATTTTCTTCTATCATATAAATAAATAAAATGTATTTGTATTTCTATATGATATCAATAAGAATTTAAAATAATATTCAGATTTAATGTGAATAGAATGAATAGAATATATTTTCAAATTTATTAAAAATAAAAAAAATTTATCTTATTAATAAAATTAGTAAATTTAAAATATTTTTAAATAATTAATTAGATAAGTTTAAGAAAAATTTTCAACGTAGAATATCAAAATACTTTTAAATATTTATTTAGGTATGGCTATTAGAGTTATTGTTCATAAATTCAAAAGCAATTACTCAATGTCGAAAAATCTTGATACACATACATGTACAAAGACTCAAATGATGTCATTTTAATACATCGTATGTTGTTGTAATCTAATCAAGTAATTCAGAAAGATCAATTGATTATGTTTTCTAGTAAATCGATGATTATAATGATAATAATTCAACGATATTTTTGTTTTTCGTCAAAATAATCATTATTCTACTTAACTTTTTGAAGATAATATATTCAAGTATTTAGAAGTTGAAAAATACATTTATGAAACAGTTCAGATCGATCAAAGCGGATATTGTTTACAGTAGTAAACTAACCGTATTTTTAGTGTATACAGTGATATATGTGTCATAATCTTACTACAACAAAGGCTCTATTTCGATATCAAGTATTATGATGATATATAGCTCGTTTACGTATCATGTGTTCACTGTAAATGATCGTAGTTTTTGATCTGGGAGTACTCAAAAAAAAAAACAAATGAACAAGTTCATCTCTTAATTGATTCAATAAACATCAGTTTTTGTAATGGCAATAATTTAAAACGGAAAAACTGTAGTTCAATCGATTTTTAATGATCCACTTCTCAAAATAGTTTAGTTGGAAAACGGTTCATGACTTAAAAATTTCTGACTATACCACTAGTTTATTTACACATAAATTATAGAAACTTCATTGATTATAATATTTTCTAATCAATAAAATTTGAAAAATTCAAATATAAATATAAATTTCATAAAAGAATAAAAAGTTTAAATGAGATTTAAATTATAGAGAATATTGATTAAAAATATTTCTAATATAATAATAATAATAATAATAATTAATAGAATAGATTTGAAAAATATTTAATAAAAATTAAGAGAAAAAAGAAATCAAACCTGAAGTTTGAATTTGATAAATAATTTGATTTAAATTATCTTGATCATAAGCTTGAAAAGTATAAATAAGAAAAGGTATTTGATTATTTTCTTGAATATGAAAAAAAAAATTTGTTTGATTAAAAAAAGGTTGACAATCATTAATATTTTCAATAATAATTTCAATAGATTTTTTTGTTAAATTTTGTTTATTTAAAATAAAATCTAAATAAATATTTTGAATAATTTCATAATCAAATGTTTTTAAAAGAATTAATTCAAATAATTGTTGATCTAATTTTTTTAAATAAAAAAAATTTTTATCAATAGATGTTATCATATCTAATGAATATGAAGATAATGAAGATGATAATGATGATGATGATGATGATGATGATGAAATAAATAATTGAAGAATTGTTATTGGTATAGATATATTTTCTTTAATAAATATTTGATTATCAATTTTTTGAAATAATTTTGGTATTAAAATTTGAATAAAATATTCTTGATTATCATTATCATTATTTTTAAATTGAGAAGTTAAATTAAAATAAATTTGAACTTTTGTTAATGAAGAAAGATAATTTAAATAAAATGCTTCAATAAATATTTCATAAAATTTATCAAATAAATTTATTTTTTCTATTTCATTTAAAAAAATTTCTCCACTTGTTTCATTTATTTGAAATAAATTTGAATTATCTATTGATGGAATTATACGATAATATATTTGTTTATTATTATTATTATTATTATTATTATGTAAATTAATTGCATGAACTTTTCCGATAAATTTTTCATTTAAATTAAATATATAAAATTGATATAAATTTAAATCAAATTTTGGTGGTAAATTATTATATTGTTGATTTTCTAAAATATTTATTTCAATTAAACATTTATCTTCTTCATTTTCTCCATCATTAACAATAAGTTCAAAAAGAAATTTATCATTTTTATTTTTTTCTAAATTTTTAATTAATATTAATTCAAGTAAATGATTTTTTTCATTATAATCAAGTTTAAATGGAAAATATGTTAAATTAAATAAATTTAAATAATAATTTTTTATTGAATTTTTTTCACTTATATCTTTATCTTCAGCTTGTTCTAATTGTAAACGATAACCTATTGATAAATTTTCATCAAATTCATATGAATAAAATTTTTTTTTAAATTTTGGTTTATGATCATTTATATCTTCAATATTTATTTTTAATTTTATTAATTTTATTTCTTCTTTTTCAATAAATAAATCACAATTTAAATAACATTTTTTTTCATATGGACAAATTTTTTCACGATCAATTTTATATGAACGAATTTGAAATAAATTTTCTTTATCAATATAAAAATTAAAACAAGGACGAACAAATTTTATTATATAATCATTTGAATTATTTAATAACAATTCAGATTTTATATATGATCTTAAATCAATAATTATTGTACCATTTTCTTCTTCTTCTTTTATTGAAACTTCAATTGAAATTTCTTCAAATGATTTTATTATTTTTATATTTATTATTATTATTAATATCAATAATAAATATTTTTTCATTTTATTTTTTCTTTTATCTTAAAATAAACAAAAATAAAACAAGATATTCATTTATCCTTTAGTAATTGACATTAAAATTGATGTTTCTCCATTATGAAAGTATTCTACTCTTTGCTATTATACAATGTCAGAGAGTATGGAACAATGTTTGATAGTGAGGAACATCAATTTTAATATTTCCACATATTCACTGTGAACTACCTGCTAAACGAATATTCAAAAGAGATAATTCAAAATATATTTCAACTTACTTCATATGTTTTATTATTTTTTGTCTTTTGGTTTCTTCTACGAATTCTTTTATTGCATCTTATATAAATGAACATATCAATATGCACTTAACATAAGAGAATATGTCTATATCAATAATACAAGTATCTTCATTTATTCAAATAACAATTCTCACTCTCTTTGTTCCTTTCATTTTGTTTATATACATACATAATATGTATATAAACTAATATCATCATCAAATCGTCACTTGTTTCTCAATCAACATAAAAATAGACTCTTGAGAGAAAAAAAAAGAGACACATTTCTATTTTTTCGCAATCTGTTTTTAGCAATAATAGAAAAAGAGAGAGACAGAGTGATTATAAATTTCTCTTCTTCCTGAATATGTCGTAAGAGAATGTAAAGGCGAAAATTCAATTTGAGTTCGATCATTCTCGTTCTGTTTTCAGACTAAACAATGATGATCACTTTGTAATTAGATTCTTTTTTTTTCTTTCTCTCTCTCTCTCTCTCCGTTCAAATAGAAAATGAAGAAAGAAAAAGGGAGGGAAAATTGAGATAGAATCTACAAGTATTTGTGCATGATCCTCCTATACTTGACTCTCTTATATATGTTCTATATACACATCAGTTTGGACGGAAATTATCATCATCATCATCATCATTTTTCAACAAGTGTCCAATGTCGTCTGAGTACATTCGATAGAATTATCTTCTTTAGTCTTTTTATTTTATTTTTATCTTGATGAAGTTATAAGACATCAGCGTGAGACATAAATAATTATAACTTACCCTTGAGGAGAGAACACACTATATTGAGAATGACCCTTCTTTTTTTTTTCAATTGAGCAATGACGATGCCATCAATGAAATATAAAATCTCTAGCCGGAAATTCATTCACTCATGAATAAGACACGAGAAACAGATTGAGAAGGAAAAGAAAAAGGTTATCAATCTATATATATTTTTTTTTATCGTGTGTGTATGTGCAAATGGTGACGATTAATCGTCGTTTTTTTTTATATGTCGAGAGAAGATTTCAATCGGCCTTATCTAAAGTTGAACATAATTTATCGATATAGAAATAATGGTGGTACTCAAAACAGATGTCGAGTTAAGGAAAAATATATGTTCATGTTATCTCAATAAATGGATCATAATAATACAAGCGAGAGAAAACGAACAAAAGTATATAAAAACTATTATAATTGAGATTGACCTAGTATATATATTGTGTATATTAGTAAAAGAATAACAAGGAGAGAGAGAGAGAGAAAGAATGAACAAGAACATATGTGTTAAGGTAATTCGA